ATTTGATATTTAAAATAAAAATATTTATTAAAGTTAAAGGTGTAAAGTTCTTAAATTTTAAGATAGGATCAATAAAATTTAATTTTTTTTTAATTTTAGTTAAATATAATGAAAGTGATTTATAAATAAGATTAGCTAGATTATTCTTATAGTTTTAAGGTGTTTTAGTGTAAAATTTTATTATTTTTTTATTACTTCAAATTCTTCTAGTTTATCCTGCATGAAAGATTAATCCCTCTATTTTTTAATATGCTCAAAAGGATCATGAGATGACACTAAAAGTATTAAATATATTGACTCATGACTAACAGTATTAATATGGGCCGAGTGGAATTATGATTTAATAGACACATGATATTACTTTATTAATATGAAGTTCATGGATACCTTTATGACATTAATAATTTTTAGATAACTAGACTGCCCCTTGTTTAATCAAAATAATGGGTTTGATTCCTTTTTTTTAATGGTAATTTTTTTTTAAAAATTACAAAAATTGAATAAAAAATCATAACTTTTTATTCCCTCAATTAAAAAATATAAAGCATTTTTAACCAAATCACATCCCTCAATAAAATTATTATCTACTTTCAAACTAACTCTATCTTTTCATATTTACCCCTATTAAATACCCTATAATAAATATAAGGAAAATTAATCTTAGTCCTTCAACTTTTAATTCACTTGTAACTCAGTTCATCAATTATGACTCGCTATGACTCAGTCCTTCAATTATGACTCGCTTATGACTTAGTCTCTCAACTTTTGAATCACTTACAAATTAATTTCTAAACTTTTGTTAATTTTTTATGTTAGCTTATATCTCACATCAATGAGCAAGGAAAAGATATTTTAAAATAATATATGAGCATTTTTTATCCCTCTCATTTAATAAGAAATTTTTTTAAAAAAATTAAAAAAATAAGGATCGAGTTTTAGGTGAATTAAAAGTTGAAGGATTGAGTCGCAGCAAGTTATAATTGAGAGACTGGGTTACAAGTGAGTTAAAAGTTAAAAGATTAAAAGATTAATTTTTTTCTAAATATAAAGTCACTATCAATAGGGAAAAAAAGTAATAATTATACCTCAAAAGATTAAATTTTTTTTATAATTTTAAATGGAGAGAGTGTATGAAATTTTTTTATGATCAATAAAAGTTCTGAAAATAATTAATCCGAATCACAACTTTTATTTTAAGAATCACAACTTTAATTATTTAAATAGTAAAAATTAAATAAAACATTATAATTTTTTACGTAAAATTTCTTTTATAATTGAAATTCAAATTTTGAAAATAAACCAATAACAACTTTTATTTAAAAAATAATAATTTTTAGTTTGTAAATAGCAAGAATTAAATAAAAAATAACAACTTCTCACTTGTGACCTCTTTTACCATAAAAGTTCAAGTTCTGAAAATAATCAATTATAATTTTTATTTAAATAATCACAACCTTTATTTTGTAAATAACAAGAATTAAATAAAAATTATAACTTTATGTGTAAATATTTTGTTATTTAAAAAATAAATAATACAGTCATCTAACCTAAAATCATTAATATTAGAAAAGTATTTAGAGACTTTAAAAGAATTATAATATTTTAAAGGACTTGATTGTTATTTATATATTTAAGTGAAATCTTGTTATCATTTTTCCAAATGCTTTTATCATTTTAATATTTTTAAATGACAACAACCTATTTTATATGAGTCCTAAACTCTGGGTCATGTCTTGATAACTCTCCTCAGATTTAAAATTTTACAGTGAATCCCTTTTTATTTTTACATTAATGCAAGTAATTTCGTCGTTACAAATTTGTTTATTCACTAAAATGTTTTATATATATATATATATATATATATATAATGTAATGCGAGAAAAAAGTGTGTTTGCGCGGTTATACAGAAAATTTGAAGTTTAAAATGTTATTTACATATAACTGAAAATTTGAAGAGGTTTTTTAAAGGAAAAAAATTAAGAAGGTAATCCTCCAGTTCATAGCATGGGATAATTTTTAGAAACTTTATTTGATTCAAAATATATAATATTTGATAGTTCTTATAATTTTTTTAACCATACCATTATTTTATTTATTATTCTTTTTTTTTGAAAAGTGGCCCACTAGAATTTTCTAATTGTTATTAATGAGAATATAATTAAAAAAATATATAAATTTTAAAATATTATGATTTTAATTAATTTTTTAAGACTGTAAAATAGTTATTGATTTCATATATTGCAAACCGAACATATCATGTAATCAAACAATGAAATAATTAATGAGAGGGTGTTATTTACACAAGTTTAAATTTTTTTAGAGAGTTTCTTATTAAGTTGTTAAAGTTAAAGGGACTATTTGAATGTGGTTTAAAATTTAGGATAGTATTGTTCAAATTAACCTGGAAAACAAATGTAAAATGAAGCAATAATTTAACATCACTTCTAAAACTAATATGTAAAAAAAAAAAATTATATTCCAATGGAATCAACAGACATTGGGATGTAGAATCAAGTTAATATTAAACTAACTTGAATACATATTTATTATTTATTAATTTTTTAGAAAAATAACAATAAAATTCTATTGAAATATATAAATAACAATCAATTCATAAAAATTGAATAAGAAATTATAATTTTATATATGAAATTTCATTTATGACCAATAAAATAATGAGTCTTAATCATAACTTTGATTATGTGAATTAAAAAAATTAAACAAAAAGTTAAATCACAACTTCCTACATAAAATTTTTTTTATTATTGAAGTTTAAATTCTGAAAATAAGTAATAATTTTTGTTTAAGCAATCACAATTTTTATTATGTAAATCATGATAATTGAATAAGAAATTACAATTTCTCACATAAAATTCCTTTTATTATTGAAATTTAAGTTTTAAAAATAACTAGTTACAAATTTTATTTTAGCAATTAAAATTTTTATTCTGTAAATAACAAAAATTGAATAAGAGAATCACAACTTCTTATGTAAACATATCATTTTTTTTTTTAAATAAGGACAAATTTAATCATTTAACTTAAAATTATTAATATTAAAAAGATATCTATGGACTTCAAAAAAAATTATGATATTTTAAAGGATTTAATTATTATTTATATATTTCGGTAAAATTTTATTGTCATTTTCCTTAATTTACTTGTATAATTAATGATAGTCATACGGCACTAAAAATTCATTCACATGGAGCACGCTCCTTTGTTTTTTTTCCCCAACCCCTTTAATTTAACGCTGCCTTCATTTTTACATGTAGGATATTTTTAATTAAATTATGTAAATTAATAAAAATTAATTAAGTAATTAAAAGTACAACAACATTCTAATTTTGCTTCTAACTATGATAAATAAAAAATAATTTTTTTTAAAATAAATTAATGCGAATATTTTTTTTTAATTTAATAAATGTATAATAATTTATTCATTAAAACATACTAACAAGCTTTTATATTTAAAAATAAAAAAATAATATACATGGACGGAGGGAGTGTATGGGTGTGTGTGAAAAGAACATAAAAACCAATCATATAAAAGGAGGAAAAAAACTCGAGAACGATAATAAAAGGGTGTATGTAATTACAAAAGAGAGAGGGGGCAAAAGTGGAAAGCGATTCCAAGAAAGAAGGGGAAAATGGGAAAATAGGGAGAGAGTTTTCAGGAGAGCCATTGTGCTGTGCAAGGAATCCCGCTACTTTGGAGAAAAATTAGGGGCATTTTGATCAACGAATGAAAAAGCTAGGGGTATAATTGGTACTTCAGCTACCTAACCCAACAGACTTCCCTCTCTTGCTTCCACTGGCGGTCATCACGCGGCGGCGATTATCCCCTGCCTTATTCAACGCCTAATGCTCTATTTTGCAGGACGGTCCCTATACTTCGTATATTTCGCAAAGGGCCCCCTAGATTTTCATAATTTGCTTCCCTAACCCTGCGCCTGTGCCTGTAAAATTTTACCAAACCACCTAATCTCACAATTAAACTAAATTATTTTGGAAGAAGTAAGCCTTCTTTTAGTAGGAGATTGAATCTCCTTGTAAACATTTAAATTTTATAATAATAAAAATCATACGTAAAGAGACTCCTTAAAATGCAAGAGTTAAAGAATTCTTGAGTGACTTAAAATGGATTTATATTTAATAAATAGTTGTCAAGGCTCTTAACAATAATGTATATATGTTATAGATCTCAAGTCTTTAGCCAAAGTCTAACATGATAAATAGGAGAGCTACCCTAATTGCCATTTTGATTTACAATGATTATTTTATAATAAAGGAAACAAATTTTAAAAGTAAACTTCCTTTTATTTATTTCACCATAAAGTTCCAACCTTGAATCTTTATCCCTAAATTGCACTAATCCCTACCTACTAACCTAGGGTCCAAGGCAAGCATTAGATGGCTTGAAAATAATATTTTTTTTGCCAGGCTTGAAAATAAATTTAAAACAACAATAACAACATATTTTGATGGCTAACATATAAGTTTGTTTGGTTCAAATTAAATTTTTTGTTTTTTGGTAAGCACGCAAGAAATAATTTTTGTCAATTGATATATAAAAATTTTAGATTTAACTTCTATTATCTGAATTATAAATAATTTTAATAATTTTACATAAAACAAACATAAACTAAAAATAATATTTAACAAGATTTTTTTAAAAATAATTACTAAACATTAAAATAAAACTGAAATCTAAACAAATCAAATATAGAATTAGTTACTTCTAAACTAGCTTGTACACACGACAATTTATTTATTTATTTAGCTTTAAAAAATAAAAGGAAAAATGAGTTAACATAATATATAGAAGATGTTAAAAGTAAAAGAAAAGAAAGGAAAAGAAAACAAACGGAAGCTAATATAATTAAGGTAAAAATGAAGGGCGAAAGTGCAAAACGCGGTTCCAAGAAAGAAGGGGAAATGAAGGGGAAAAACAGAAAGAAATTGCTCCTATGCTATTTATATCACAGCCTCCTTCAGCTCATAGCTCATACAACTCAGCATTTTTCGTCGTTGAATGGCTTTCTTCTTCTTCATTTGGGATATTTTCTAGCATAAAGCCCTTCTCCTTCTCAAATTCTCTCTTCGATTTTCCTTTTCCTTTTCATTCTCTCTCCGAGAAAATCGCAATCTCAGATTTTCTCGGAGATTGATTCGATTCAATTCGATTCATTCTTTTTTGTTTTCTTCCTTCGTTCATCGTTCGATTCAACCGATCAAGATGAGTATGGGAAAGTTCGTCGAAATGCTCGATCAAGGCGTCCGAATAGTCGCCAGATTTCATTCCAATTGTCCTCAAACAGGTCGCAAGTACTACCATCCTCCCGGCGTCTCCGCCGACGCCGACCACCAACAACACCACCACGACCACGCCGGCTTCCACCTTGCCTCGTCGGTGCAGATGTTCTATTGTGGCCCCAAGGCGGCTGTGGCGGCTGGTTCTGAGACCGTTGACGTGATTCTGTATTCTGTTTGATTGGAAAGAAAACGATTGAAAGAAGATGAATTAGTTTTTTTTAATTAATATTTTAGATCTTGTAATTGTTAAGACAGGTTTTCATTTCCCAATCCGACTCTTCTCTCCCTCAATTCATGTTACAAATAGAGATATCAGATACGTTGGCCAAAAAAAAAAAAATGAGAGAGAGAGAGAGAGAGAGAGAGAGAGAGATCAGATACACAAAACACTCAATATTTTCCTCAAGAAAATCTTTTTGACCTTATGCAATGGAGGACTAAATTTTTGTTCTGCGTAACTATTAATTTAATTTTACCTTTTACTATTGTATTTGTGAAGTAGGGGGAAATATCAAAACCTGGCAGGTGAATCTAGATTTTGACTAAATAAAAATCTAAATCCAATCACAAACATGAGCCTGACCTAAAATTTATGTAAATATTTTTTTTTCACTAAATATAAGTATTTTAAATAGGAAGAATTAAAAAAATTAATTATTATAAGATTCATTAATAATTGAATTAAGGTAATTATTAATGATTCAATGGCATTAGTTTGATTATTAATAAATCTTATAATAATTAATTTTTTTTATGTGTGACTTCAATGTAATTCTTCCTTTTAAATATGCTTACATAATAAATTTTAAAAATCTCAAATAAATTTTAGAACTATTAAATCATACACATGCAGAAATTGATTTACCAAATATTTAATAAAGCAAGAAGACTTATTAGCTACAGTACAATACAATAACAGTAAAATTAACACACAAATCCTGTAAAATTAATGACAAAACCAAGAACTAGAAATAAAAAGAAAGAATTGATTAAAAATTAAATGATGAAACTAATTTATAACCAATTCAGCACACAAAAAAGCTAATTAAAAAAAATACATAGTAAGGAAATTGTCAAGTGCTTCCGAGTTTCATTTGGGAGGAAAAACAAGAAAAGAGTCAAAGAAAGAAGGGTAAAGTCAATTATTTCCTAACTCATGAATTAAATATTATATTACACGGTATATATGTGTGTAATATGTTGTACATTATACAATATATATATATATATATATAGTGTGTGTGTATAAATAGGTTAAAATGTAAGACTTGTAAGCCAAGACTTATAGAAATAGGCACTAAATAAGTATATTCAAATGGGATTTAGATCCCATGCTTATAGTAACTACAAGAATTGGGTTCTTATATCCATGTGGTAAAATCCACACTATTCATTAAATTAATGGTTTGGAGAATCTTGTTATAATTAAAATCAAGAAATATTGAATCCGAATTCATCCAAATTTTCTAAATAGCATCACGTAATAAATATTTACCCCATTTTTGCCTAAAATTTAGAATTTTCTTAAATATTCCATGGCTGTAGTATTATTTTCATACGATCAATTTATGATATTTTGCATCTATCTTTCCTATTATAATAGATGGGTTTATATTATATATTATTTATAAATAGATTTATATTATTATATTTTTGTTTTTCCCTTCATGCGTTGCCTAATGACATAGGAAATGTAGGAAGATTTTATACCAACATAGGCAAACAATTTGACAATGTAGACGAAGCATGAAAATTTTAACTATTTAAAAATGTTTTAAATTTTAGGCTGAAAATGAGGTATACATTCATTACGCGATGCTATTTAGGAGATTTGCATATATTTGCATTCAATGTTTCTTGATTTTGGACTTTTTGTTGTAACAATATTCATCAAACTCTTGATTTAATGAAGACCATAATCTTGTCATTTGAGTATAGACACCCCATATCTAGTTGCTACAAGCATAGAATCCAAATCCAATTACATGCCCAAATTTGGTCAAGTTAGAAATTAAAGTAGATCAAGTTGTAGGATCTTGAAAGGTTATCTAGCCTACTTCCACCCCTATTTTTCAAGAAACTCGCTTTTAATTTCAATGCTATTCACTTTGATAAAGAAATAAAATTCCAAGTGGGCATATATCATACGGTTTTTTTTTTAATCGGTATTTTCATTTCCTTTACTTTGCTAATTCTCTAAGTAGGGCTTTCTATTTCTTAAGAGAAATTTGGTTGACCCTTCCTTAGACTGGAAAGAAGCACCTAAGGATTTAAGTAAATTATAGAAGAAAAATAAAAGAACAAGATATCTTTCTTTCCTAACAAAAAATTTTTACTCTAATTTTTTTCCTATCTCAGAGAGAAAATTATAAGAACATAAGGGTAAAAATGTCAATTTTTTTACTAATTTTCCATTTATATTTTCTTCCGAATTCAAACAAAGCATGAAACTTTCCTTTTTTTTCCAAGCAAAGAAAGAAAGGAGGATTGGAATAAATGTTATCCAACCATAAAAGAAAGGTATTTAAAAAAAAAAGTGCACCTCAAGCTTTGATTTGAAAGGGGATTTGGATTCCAATGAACATTTGGTTGATTCCTAGTTGATAAGATGCAAGAAATGAATAAGTGGAACAAAGACATGAGTGATGCTCGCCACATAAAAATAAGAATTTTTCATTTTTTATAATTATAATTAATATTTAATTTATTGTTTGTCATACAATTGGAAAAATATAAAATAATAAAAAAGAGTATAAAAAAAAGGAAAATGGGTTTTCTATTTTGCTTCTCTGTTTTTGAATTTTTGAATACATAATTTTAAGAGGAACAATTTAAAAAACACTGTAATTGAAGTTTGCAGTTTAGTTTAAAGAAATATATATAGAATATCTTATATTTCAATTTTCCTGAAAAGATGAAAAGTTTTTCTTGCCAAGAAAATATGCGAATATTAAAATATGAACTGAAATTTATAATCCAATAAGAGAGTTACTATTGTTTTCTTGATGTAGTTAGCTGGTAGCTAAATTATATATTTAATCCTTTTAACTTTATACAACAGTTTATTTTAATTTTTAATTTTATAAAATATTTTTTTGATCTTTTAATTTTAACACTGTTAATTTTATTTATGCCAACAAATTTTTAAATTAAACTTTTGAATATTAAAAAAATATTATCAACATTGACATATTAAGTTTAATATTTTTTAAAATAACAATGATTGACATAAAAATAATCATTTAAAACTAATAATGTTAGCATTAAATGATTAAAAAGATACTTTATTAAATTAAAGGATCAAATTAAAACTTTATATAAAGTTAAAATACTAAAAAATACTTTAGTCTTATCTGATTGAGTGAAATTCAAACATTATTGGGCCATGGAACTAGGTTTTACATGGAACATTAAAAATTAATAAAAGTTAAATATTGAGAAAGTATTAATTTTATAATTTTATAAAAATAATAGTAATTTAAAAAGGTAAAATAGAATTATATAAATAATTACAATAATAATTATAACAATAATAATGTAAACAATTATATAATTTTAGTCCCCCCGTATAATGGTGAAAATAAACTGGGTCGAGTTAGGCTTTGGTTAAATAAGCCTAAGTCTATGTGATAAGTTTGAGACTTGAGCTTGGTCTGAAGCTTGTATAAGGTTGTTGTCATAGTTGAACCTTGAGCTTATTTAAAGTCTGGCCTGATTTAAAAGTCTATTTAAAAGTAAGCATTTTAAATAAATTTATATTTTATTTTTAAATGTCTCAAATATACTGTAGGATTATTACTATAAATCTATAATATGATTTATCAATTACATATATATAATAATTAAAAAGACTCACCAACTATAATATAATACAATAATAAAGTAATAACATTAAAATTAATATATAAGTTCAATCTAATTGAAAACATAACTAAAATTAAAAAATAAATCGATTAACATCTAAATGGTGAAACTGATGTATGTGTAATATATTATATAATATATATATTTATGTAAATAGGCCGATTTATTAGATTCGTAGGTTAAGCTTTGAAAAATTAAGTCTAACCTATTTAACTAAATAGATCTAAGTAATGGTTTGAACTTGGCCTAAGTCTATTCAGTGAATAGGATAGATTGGGCTTGAAATAGGTTAGAATGTAAGCCTTTGATAGAGGCTTAGCATATTCCCACCCCTACCCATGTGGTACATTCAGTTTTAGTGTTGCTAATTTTGAAATAATCAGCAAATTATTTATATAAAAATAAAATATTTTATCTTATTTTAGAGAATTGTCACATCCAGTACAGACACCAAATAACTTTTTTATATACGAAGACACCAAATAATTTTATTCCATAAATTGTTATACCGTGAAAATTTTAAAAAATTTAAAATATATGTTTTGTTTTAATTTTTTTTCCTTCCGTATTGTAAAGGCAACTTATTTTAATCCAAAATTTACTTTCTCATGTAAATTTAAAATATAAATAAAAAAACTATCTACAATAACTTGTTTTATCCTCAGATAATTACCTCAGAATTTGTTATCCATGCATATATCATTTCCAGATGTCTTATCCACACATAAATTAAAATATACATAATTGCGTGTTCTATTTTATAATTTATTAATGTAAAATAAAATTATATTTTATAAATTTTAATTTATTTTATGAATTATCCTTACATAAATTAAAACTTAAACCACAACATTTCCTGGTTTAGAATTTATTATTTCATGCACATAAAAAATATAAACACTCTTTTTATTTCTGAGTCTATTACCAAAGCTAAAATTTAAAAACTACACAATCTCAGATTATGTTAATATGCTTCTTTTTGGCCAAAACAAATTATTTTAATATGATATTATAAGCATATAATGAAAAAATATTTCCCCCTCATTTTTCAATATAACAAGTCAACTAAATTTTAAAAATATAAATAAAAATAATTTTTAAATGTATGTTATGATTAGGACGTGCCTTACTGTGATTGACCCTTTACCTACAACAATGTTAAAGCACTTATTTGACCAATTTTTTTTTTTTAAACAAAGTTCAGTTAAAAGAAATGAAAATGTTACTATTTAAATAATTATTCATGTGCAGTAACCTTTTATTATACCTCACTGTACACATTAATGATTGACATTGATTTTAATTTTATATTTATTCTTACATGTCATTTAGTGTAATTTTTCCAATTTTCAATACAAATATTTTTATTTGATCATTGAGGAATATTCTCTCAATTTGCCAAATTGTGTGGTAGAGAGAGACCACTGGAAAGACAAGTCAAAGATTATTTT